AGTGGATTTACACATTTCCTTGTCTACGATTACAGTTCGTTTGTATCGTGCTAGAAATGTTATATTTAAAGAAGTACTGTTACGATAAAGATACTAATTTGGCCAGAAATGTTTTGCGGGTCTCTGCTAGTAAATAAATAAAACACTGTTAGCTAAGTATGAAACAAAAAATATAACAAGTAAAACATTTTAGGGAAGTGTAAAAAAAGTACAAATATTTATATATACCTTCATTTCCATGCAAAAAAATTATTTATGTAGTATTTTGTTCATATTAAAATGTCATAGCCGTATTTTCGAGATATCTTTATGTTGATTATTGGCCATGGTTTCTGTTGTAGTTTAACCTTGGTTTTTGTATGTCAAGAAAAATACTCTCAGCTGTTGCTCGATCGGTTGCATTCTTTGTTCTGTATCAGATCTCTGCTTTTAGTGGGATCTCTGGCATTTGTTCACACTTATGAACTGTCGGGAAGTGTGAGCCGAAGAGTGTGTTACAGTCCCCTGTGTGAGAAATTTCTAAGGCGTTCAAGAATTCTTTCACGAACAGGACGGTGCGTTTCTCCGACGCACGAAACTTCACAGATATTACATTGAAACTTGTATACAACATTTTAACAGTAGTAGTTTAGTAGTTCCATATATTTCTGAAGTTGTTAACCGTGAAGTTCGCAAAACAATTAGACAAAATAATATTGAGGTACATTTAATAGACAAACCTGGGAAGAAGTTAAAAGAATCACTAATAAAATCACCACTAGAGTTGTAAGTTGTATATTGTAAGTTTAAATATTTATTTCTGCTGTCTGGTCACTAGTTACTGTAATTGGCGTTGTGGTTATGATCTGCACTCTGAATTCTGAAACATAGCTAACTGGTACAGTTGTAAATTTTCGTTTTTTGAACGAAATGGCCTAATGACTAAAATTATATTTTTATTACTTTTCATTTAATTAATGTATATATTTTTCCATCACATGATGTAAGTTGTCAGAGTAATTACCATAATTATACACTTAAAAGTGCTTCTCTATAAACAAGTGATTTTGATTTAAACTGAAAACGGAATGGAAACTAAAATTAACGTCCAACTAAAACGGAAACTATTATTAAATAAGAAAACGAAATTAAAACTAAAAGGGTAATGCCAAAACTAAAAATATTATTAACAAGCAAAACGAAATAGATACTAAAACTAAAAATATGTATACACCAAAACTAAAACTACTATTAACATTAACAAGCAAAACGAAATAGATACTAAAACTAAAAATATGTAAACACCAAAACTAAAACTACTATTAACATTAACAAGCAAAACGAAATAAAAAACTAAAACTTATGCTTTCAAGACAATTGCCTTGGGAATTGTTATTGTAATAATATCATTTTATTGTTAATTAACGCTTGATATAAGGAACTTTAATATTTCAATTGTAATTACTCATTTTATGTTTAAAGAGATATAAGGGCAAATTCATATGTAAATTTTGGTAACACTAACCATTCTGGAGTTGGTAACAGAATGTGAAACAGACGACAATGAACGTGTTATTGGTGTGGCGTAGGTTCAATGCAATGAAAAAAGCTTTCATTATTCGACCATTTCCTGTTAAGTTGAGAGCTAAAGAGATTACTGGAGCGGTTAAAAATCTAAATAATTAGATTGTTATTAATATGGTGTTAGATACTTGATCTTTATTATCCAAGGTCATAAGAAATGTTTTAACTCGGTGACTAGATTTTGATTTTGGTGTTTTTTTTGGAGATGGTGAAACTTTTCATAAAGAGTATTATTTAAAACTAAAGGATAAATAAAGAAATTCCTTGCTTATATATATGAGTATATATATGGGGTATATTCTTGTCTGTACCATTCTAAACCTTATTAAATGTTGACAGCTAAGTGTCGAATTAAGCCTAAAGATCTAGTGCCAGTAATACTGGCAGCAAGATTCGCATTGTATCTATTGTTACTTTAGTTTTGTTGTGCCAGTAATACTGGCAGCAAGATTCGTATTGCATCTAATGTTACTTTAGTTTTGTTGTGCCAGTAATACCGGCAGCAAGATTCGTATTGCATCTAATGTTACTTTAGTTTTGACGAGTTTTCTCATTTCACACTATCGTATGTCTAACACCTTCAAACATTCCTATCGATAATGCTTGAATATGTTTTCAAACACAGCCACTGCAAAAATTCTACATTTGACAGTGTTTAAAGAACTACAGTATATAGAAATACATGGAAAAGTTGTTTTTAAATAAACACTAGTGGCATCGAGTTTTAAACTTTTAAACTCCAAGTGCAACAGAGATAACTAGTTCTGTTTCATTTCCTGCTGTTTGTTCGTAGTTAGTAGAGGCAGTATTCTAAGAGGAATTTAAGAAAAACTCCTAGAGTGTAGTATTTACCATGAGAGCAGTTTATGTTTAATAATACTATATTATATACATGTTTTATAATACTGTGCTATATACATGTATTTCAATAACATTGTGTTATTAGTGCATGTTTCTATAATATTATGTTATATATGTGTTTTTTATGATACTATGTTTTATAACTATATATTTATACAGTTTATTAAGTTTGTGTAACATGTTTATATTAGTAACATTAAAGATAGGCGAAGACTAAAATCATACAGTGGATTCTAAATCAGATAATACTTATCATAGAATATACAATACTAAAACAGTGGCAATAAATGAAATTATTTGGAAATGTACAGCGTTTTGTGTCGTAATAATCCAACTATTCTCACATTATTTGAACTCCATGGCTCACTTAGAAAATATTACGCTATAAAATAAAACATGTCGTCGTCCTGAATTTCTATACCCTGTTTATACAATTAAAGCTAAGTGGAGTGTATGAATGACACATCGTATAAAATGTTGTACTGTTCATTCTATGCAACAAATATTTCACATAAACAGTTATCAGACACCCGACCATTCTTTTCTTCTATTAGCAATGTTCGGTTCAAAACTGTTTTGATGGATTAATGGTGTATTATATCAACATAAACAGTTATCAGACACCCGACCATTCTTTTCTTCTATTAGTAATGTTCGGTTCAAAACCGTTTTGATGGATTACTGGTGTATTCTGTCAACGAATGTTATATTAAACGCAAGGCGATGCTAGTATGCCAAGCTTAACCTGCATTTAGTTTTTGAACTCTTTCTGTTTTTGTTTGCAATTTTACTTTTTGAGCTCACTTGCATACAGACCTCAGTTAATAAACAGAAGTCGTCCATCGGATACAATAGGTGCTTTATGTGCGTAGTATAGGTGGAGAGTAAATATATTTTTATGGTAGATTTGCAGAAGAGCGTAGGTGTAAAATCTCGAGTTTAAAAATAGCGTTCTAGGACATCTGTCGTTATAATGCCACACTGTGAGAACACATCAGTCATATAGTTTATTTTCATTCACTTATTTAACTTTCACTTAACAATAATAAAAATAATAAAAATAAAAAATTAGGATGTTTAGCCATTTGTTAATAAATTTGGTATTCAATAAGCCACAGTAACGTAAAGAATCGTTCATGCAATCAGATAAATAAAACACACGAATTTATAATGGATTGCACATTTAGGATGTTTAAACTGATATTTTAACAAATTAGTATTTACCAATTGATTTATTCATAAGAATCTTAGTTTGTTAGAGCAAAAACAGTTGTAAAACGAATTTATTTCTGTACTATTTGTTTTGAGTGCAACTAGATGTGCCTTTAATATTTGTTTTTGAAATGCGTGAGTTAGAGATGAGCATTGCTTTTGGATGTATAACCTAACAAACACCACCTTTCCTCGCTCACTTCATCCACTCACATATAAACAAGCGAAATTTATTACCGGTGCAGCTGCACGTAGCAACAGAGGGCGCGATTTTCATCTTTTACTCGGCGCTGGAAACCCTGCAAGCAGACAAGAAAGAGGCTTGTTTGCGGGAGTCAAGAGAGAGGAGAGGCAAGAAGATAAAACTGTCTTCTTGGAGGAAGGAGTCCCGCTAAAAAAGAAATATAGTTAATCCAGTTTTTCAGTTACATCATATCTCCACTTGTTTTAGGCTAAACTATATTAATTTCTAATACTTTCTTTTTATCATTAGTTTCCAAACTTAACCATGGCAAAAGTACCATATCGGTTCTTGAAACGTCTAAAACTGAAAAACCAGACTGCAAGGGAGTTTCTCGGAGAATTTCTGGGGACCATGATCCTGATTGTGAGTTTTGGATAAGTTTCCTTTATTATTTGTTTTTTGTATGTGCTAAACGATGACTTTTTTTGTTTGTGAAACCTTGCGGATTGTATGAAAATACAGTTTTGAAATGTTTAATAGTTAACTGATTATATTCCCTTAATGTACTCTTTTTTTTCATAACTACCAACTCATTAATAAGTATTTCATCATACAGTGTTGTTAGATTTAAAAATGAAGGATAAATTCGTAACTATAGCTTGTAAGCAATACGTCATTTCTTAAGTAATACGTCATTTCTTTCACTTAGTTGTTGAAATAAAATCGATATATTATTGATCCATTTATTTTTATTCTTCTTTCTGTTTCTCTATTTCAAAATCGATAATGCTGTAGCTGTTGGAAATGGATTTTTTTACATGTGTTTTTAATGGGTGGTTTGCTAACGAAAAATACTTTGAAATGAAGCGTATAAATTATTGAAGAACTGTGTATATAAGTGATGTTAATCACGTAGACCGAGAATGTGGGTATACAACGTGCAGGCGACTGATGGTGGAAACCAGACTTTTAAAAGACGCCGACTTATTCTATTCGAAAAGCAGTAATGAAATCCGGATTCGTTAAAATGTTCAGTTTACAGTAGCACATACAAACACTTACAAAGCTGTAATTGTAATTTTTTCTCTACGAACTAAAATAAGAAGATGTTTTAGCTCGAAACAAAAGAACGATTGACGTCTGCTTATTTTCCTCATGTGAGTACAGATAACTTATATCACGTAAATTTTGTTTTATTATCACTATCTTGAGAGTTAAACAAACATTTCCTTTCGCACTGAAATATACAGGGTTTACTATAACACAGTGGTATTCTTTGTTGGTTGTTTAGGTGTTTGATTATTATTATAGGTATTTATAATTATCGATATATATATCTCGCAATTATGCAGAGAACTAACAAAAAAGTTCAAACTGAATTCCAAATGCCGTTAAAACTTTTGTTTTATATTCCCCAGCATTATGAAATATATATATATATATGTTTTAATTTTTTTTGCCAGAAGACATTATACTTGCATCACCAGTTAATCCTTTTCCACCTGAAAATCTTCTTTAGTTTGGAATTATTCACCTTTTTCAAGACCTTTGAGACTGTTTACTACTTCGTAACTTTGTCTTTCATGACTACAGAATAATGATATTTGGATTTTTAAATTTATTTTCTTCTCATGCTGTTTTTACCTTATTTAAGGAAATAATAATAAAGAGAATGATGTTTTTAATAACCTCATGAACAAAGATACATAGTGAATATTTGTTGATAACATTTCAAAAAGACCTGCAACAGTATGATGTTTTGCCAAATAATATATTTCGTTTATAATAAGCTAAAGTAACAGATTGTTTCTCACCATAACTGTTGGACAAGATGATGTACATTTTAAATGGTTAGAGGAGACACAGTCAACATTGGACAAGATGATGTACATTTTAAATGGTTAGAGGAGACACAGTCAACATTGGACAAGATGATGTACAATTTAAAATGTACATCATCTTGTCCAATGTTGACTGTGTCTCCTCTAACCATTTAAAATGGGTTAGAGGAGACACAGTCAACATTGGACAAGATGATGTATATTTTAAATGGTTAGAGGAGACACAGTCAACATTAACTGTCAAGTTAATGTTATAGAACTTATTTTTTTCCTGTATGTGGCCGTTTAAGACAAATGAACAAGTAAACTACTACCGTCCATTTTAAAAACAACACACATACATGAAAATATATATATATATATTTCTTTTTTTCAAAGTATTAACACATACTTTCATCATTATTTTGAGGAAACAAACAATAGGTAAAGTACTACTGAAGCTGTACTCTTCAGCTGTTCACTAAAAAATAGAAAACCGGTCGAAGTGAGAAAGGTGTCTATAATATTTTTTAACACGTGATGTCAGGAAGCTGAAGAATAGCACTAAGCAGCGGATCGATATTGTATCAGATGTGAGTCATCTTAGGATACATATCTCCAGAACTGAATCCATTGTAGCTTCTGTCTGGGTTCAGATACACGAATCTAAATCAACAAGAGTCGTTAGCGCCACTAATTATACTCGTTAATGAGAATGAATTTGTAGCAGGCTGACGTTATATTTATTCACATGAGACTCAGTTGAACCTTGAAATGAAAGCAAAATATGCATAGTAACTACGCATGCGTATATTTTATTACAACAATTATTCTCAGACATAAACTACACATTTTTTACCACATTCAAACAAATAAGTGGTCTAAATTTAAAGATCTAAAATTTTAAAAAGATCTATTTTAACTAAATAACTACTAAGCCGATAAGCAACGAATTATAAAAAAGATGTATTTTAATTATATAACTTCTAAGCCGATAAACAAGGAATTATAAAAAGAAAATAATTAGAACATAAAATACCGGATTTAAGCAAAATCAAAATATTTCATCATGCTTAATTATCATGTAGCATGTTTGTTACTGTGTGTGTGTGTGATGTGGATGGCAAAGGGAGAACCCAGTTTCAAAATGTATTGCATTATCACTATCGATTTCTGGCGGTCGTTAACACAGACGCTGCGTTTCAACGGCGCGTGGCTGCTGGCTAGTGTATGCGTACAATACACTGTTAACACATACATAAATGTAAAGAAACAGTATTCGTTCTCAGTTCTTGTAACAGAGTATTTGAGTAGTACAGCTCATTTACATAAAAAAAGCAGTATGAAGCAGAAACTTGTATATTGCCTTCAGGTTTCTCAACGATAAGTCAGAGGGCTTATATTGCTAGGTATCGAGTTTCGATACCTGTGATGAGCAGATAATACACAGCCTATTGTCTAGCTTTGTGCTTAACAACATACAAACTTTATATATTTACACTGTTTTGGTACAGTAAAATACTTAGAAACTCTAAAAACATCCCTCATAAATTCAGTAGAATGATCTTAATGCATCAGCCATCTAGAGAAATAAATTTAAACTTTTCAAAATAATCTAAAACTTAACAAGTACATTAAACTTCCAGTTTACATGTATACAGTCTAAAGTGGCCATTGATACTAATAGTTTTAATGTACCCATAGGCGTCTTTTCTGTATTAATACAAATAAAATATAAATAATAAAGTTCATAAGCAAATTATTCATAATAGTTGATATTATGTCTTTCGTATGTGATGGCTTATAATATCTTTTCTCACTGATAAAATTGTGGCGATTCAATAAATCGAGTATGTCCCACACGTCTTATTTGCTCTAAGATTTTCGTAATTTTGGCAAATAAGTCCAAACACAAAAATTTCTTTTATGTAACTAATTTTAGGATTGATATAAATAATACTAAATGCTATAAAATTACACGCTTTCATGTAATGTTGGCAGAGGCTGAGAATCAGGTCATGTGGATAACATTCATGGCGCCGCCATGTGACACAAACGAGAACTACGCATCTGCCCAAGATTTTCCCTAAGCTAAAGACCTCGGTGGGATAGCGGTAAGTTTACGGACTTAAAACGCTAAAATCCGGGGCTAGATTCCCAGCGTTGGACACAGCAGATAGTCCAATGTGGCTTTGCATTCACCAAACAAGTTGTGGAAGGTCTGCATATAGTTGAAATGATAACTGTCAGATAGATAAGAACATGTGCTATTCATGACAAAAATTTTCTGAGTATGTTCACAGTGTGTGTGTGTGTACTATACTGAACCATTTATTGAGCTTGATAGAAAAAATAAAAAAAAATAAAGTGAGAGTCGCTACTATGTTCGTGGAAATTATACTAATTCGGCTGAACACAATCACGCATGGAGCTCAAACTAAACGAATCTTAATTGAATTACATAAAATAAGCCATAAACTATGGGATAACAGGACTGTCACATTTGAATATTGTGATTTATAACTAAACTCTATCTAATGTTAATTATTACGTGGTAAAGATTTTAAAATTATAATTTATTGTCGTGTCTTCCAACATGGATTTTAAAATTATAATTTATTGCCGTGTCTTACAACATGGAATTTGAAATTATAATTTATTGCCGTGTCTTCCAACATGGATTTTAAAATTAAAATTTATTACCGTGTCTTCCAACATGGAATTTAAAACTATAATTTATTGCCGTGTCTTCCAACATGGATTTTAAAATTACAATTTATTACCGTGTCTTCCAACATGGAATTTAAAACTATAATTTATTGCCGTGTCTTCCAACATGGAATTTAAAATTATAATTTATTGCCGTGTCTTCCAACATGGAATTTAAAATATCTATTATTCGTAACTTGTATGTAAGGCGTATCATAATAAATGTTTTTATGTGTATTATATTCCATACTCCAAAAAATTGAGAAATGATCTTGAAGATTGCCGCCTCCGACCTCTAAGTTGTGTCTGATATGCTTTAATATCTGTTGCCACTACATGTTTGATTCCTATATTGACACTCAGTCTTGTTGCAGCCAGCCAAGATTTCAATTTAATGAGAAGCTAAATACAAATAAAAAAATGCATGTTATTATAAATGTTGGTTTTAAAATTTACCTTCTGTTATTTGAATTATATTATTTCAGTAATGATAAAAGTTTGAGAAGTAACTAGCTTCAATTAGACTTACAGTTATATTTTGTTGTTTATCAATAAATTGGGAAACGCATTAGAACTAGAGAACCCATTTTAGTATTATCACAACAACTACTTGCCAAAACTAATATAGAATGCCTTGAAAACTGTCATACTAAAGTAGGTTTAGTAAACTGAATAGACCAAAGAATGGTCTTATTTGTAAAAATTGGACTTGTATAGACATATATCAGAAATTGCATGCATTAATAAAGCCTGTCATACGTGAAATTTTAACATTTCGTTATTGCTGTATTTTATCTGCTATAATAATTTTTATGGCACACATATCTCTGGTTAGATTACAAGAATTTGTTTATGAGATGCAGTTTATCAACTGAAATCGAAGTATTTTTATTT